GATAATATTAAATATATATATTTATATATATATATATATATATACATAGAGAGAGAGAGAGAGAGAGAGAGAGAGAGAGATTACTATAGAGATGTCTCAGCTTGTTGTAGTTGCGCTCGTATTTGGAGGAAGGTGATAACATCCAGTGTGGCTGTTGTGGGTCACTCTCGGCATAATTACATGTCCTAAAAGTCGGTGTTTCATTATGTTCATCAATATTTTAAGAACAGACATTTTTGTTTCTTGTTTGTGTCCACCGTCTGGACTTGTTCTGTGTTAGACCTGGGTCAATACAACAGTAACAGTTGGTTTAGGTTTTTCCAACCAACCATGATGAGGAGAAGAATTCACTTTTTCTGTTTGACCAAACAGAGAGTACAAGTGTTTATTACATTTTCAAAACCGTTTCCAACTTGTCCACTGAGGAGCGTCCAGATAATCCTCTTAGTCTACAGTAACTGATGCTCCGTCTGTGTCCTTCTGTGTGTTTGCAGAATAACACTGGTCTTGGCCTGTCCAATGGATCTGAAGAACTTCCCTATGGATGTCCAGACGTGCATAATGCAGCTGGAGAGCTGTGAGTAATTACACACACACAAACACACACACCTGCAGTGCCTGGTGCAGCATCAGTCACACAGCAGCTGGCAGCCTCACAGATAGAGAGATATAGATTTTCTCCTCGTGGCCTTTCTTTTCATTCTCTGCACGGACGTGAGAAGAATCAGAGAAGCTGAAACTCACACAGCTCAGTTCTCGCACAAAAACCTGCGCTGTGATCTCGGGACAAAGACTCGCTGCTTTATCTGGACTGACGCTCTGTGATTTCTAAGAATCAAAAAGGAGCCAATCAGATACTAGAAAGCCCGAAGTTACAGTACAGCCTGTGAAATGACAGGAGCGTCACGTGTGCAGCACGCTGGTGAGATTCAGACGAACAGAAGGAGGAACATGGAAACAAAACAATGGGGAAAGAAAAGAGGAAAAGGTTAAAATACTGCACTTAAATATGACGAATGCTAAGAGATTAAGATAAACAAGGGACCATCTGTCGTCAGTTGTTCGGAGGAGGAATTTATTTAGGCCATTTTGCCACCACACTAGTACATTTCCTTACTGCCGCTCCACTTGTGTTTGCCTTTGTAAACAATACATATACATATATATATATATATATATATATTCACATATATACATATACACATACATATATGTATATATATACATATATACATATACTGTATATACACACATACATATATATGTGTATATGTTCAATTTGACATTTTCCTGAAAATGTGCAATAATCGTTTGCTTCAAGGCCGTTGTTAAATAGGACTTCTTGTCAATTTTGTTAAAATCCCATTTAGTGGAAAAAACAAGGCAAACACTGGTTGACTAGCTTCATGCAGTGTTTTCCAAAAGTGCTGCTTTTCTCTATTCAAACTTAAAAAAAACTGCAGTTTACATTTTAAAAAACCTGATTATCCACAGTCCTGACCTGACTGAGAGGTCACTCCAACATCTGGATTCTTCACAAGTGGAAAAATGTCGACAGAGGGTGTAATGATATTTATAGAAGGCTGACCTACGTGACCTCACATCCTGATTGTCCTCTTCCTCTGAGAAAAAAAAACAAACCTGCTGTGTTTAACCCGCGTGACCTGGCGTCGTCTTCTTCTTCCCGTAGTTGGCTACACCATGAATGACCTCATATTTGAGTGGGATGAAAAAGGAGCCGTGCAGGTGGCCGACGACCTGACGCTGCCTCAGTTCATCCTCAAGGAGGAGAAGGACCTGCGTTACTGCACCAAGCACTACAACACAGGTGAGCCATGTCTGTTTATCATCTGTTTGTTTTTTTATGACTGGCATTTTCACCATTTTCAAAGTTTTTCTTCTGACACCAAAATGTGTTCCAAACTTTATTCTCACTGTAAAGCTGCAACGTTGGTCTTTAATCACTTCACACAAGCCCCACACTAAACAAACTTTGAGAGAAACTTCCCATGGCCAAAGTGATAATAAATTACAGCAGTGGTCAGTGTGTGTGTGTACGCGTGCGTGCGGGTGTGTGTGTGTGTGTGTGTCCTGCCGGCTGATTAGTTCAGATTCTGAGCTATCACTCACACAGAGGTTGACATCAGCTGTCACCGCAGAGGAGATAAACGATCCACCTCCAGACGGAAACCTCTGACACACACACACACACACACACAGCACAAAGCAGAGATACACATATAATCCACACACTTAAACATGCACAATACAGAGATAATCCCCAGCTTTGTTATATAAGTACATGAACGATCATCTCCTCAACTCTATACCATCGTTCAGTCCATATAAGGTGTTTCCTGCTTCCTGTTTCCTGCTTCCTGCAAAAACGGTGTTGTTTTCTCAACTAAACCTTCTACAAAGAGTCTTGGGCTTTAGAATGATCATGTTAAAAACAAAGTGCTAAATCACATTAGCCTGTGCTAAATCACATTTCTAGGTCAGGTTTTCAGTCTACCTCATGAATGTTCCAATCATTTAACATTGGCAGGATGAGTCAGTGTGAAAGTAGGAATATCTTGGAGTGTGTTTATGGAGTCGAAGCACTGAGTAATTGAATAAATAGAGAATATGAAATTAAAGCAGCACAGGAGTGATGAAAACCACACCACCCTCTAGCAAAGTTCACCTTTGAATAAGTTGGAGTACGGCTTGGAACAGTGGGAAAAAAAAGCTCAAAAATTAGAAATCTACAGAAGAAACTGAAATTTCAAATTTCAAACTGGTGTCGACCATCATTCCTGAGGTTAGGGACATTTCCTGGATGTGTCTTTGCTTGTCTTTGACTACAAAGGACAAACCTTAAGAGGTGAAAGATTCCAAAGCCTATGCACGTCTTCATTGTTTTCTCAGCTTTTTTTTTCTTAAACCATATTTTTGAAATATTTTTACGCCTCATCCCTGGTGGAATACTCTGTGGCTGTGTTAACGTGGCATGTGCACAGACCGCAGCGTGTTTAACCGCGGGCGTACATGTGCACGCGTGTGTGTGTTGGCGCGCCTGGCTCATCGGGGCACACGTTTCGCTGCAGTGCAATCAAATTTTAAAAGGGAATTAAGGTGTCGTTTCCCTCAGATTTATATGCTGCGGTCTATTGTGACTCAGAGAGAAAGTGAGGGAGAAAGTCTCCCCCTCTGTCTCTCCCTCACACTCGCTCTCTCACCCTGTCTGTTTTACTGTTGTCTGTTTTATGTCTTTCCATCTCTCCATCGCCCACACACACACACTCACTCACACACTCACACACACACCCACAAAGAAAAAGTCATGTTTGAAATACTAATTTCTGGTGCATTGCGGGGCACTTTTGTTTTCTGGCTGCTCGTGTGTTCATGTGTTTTAGAGTACACACACACACACACACACACACACACAGGAAACTGCCTTGACTGACTGTGGCTGATGATGATGATTATTGATAGAGTTTGATTTTACCATGTCATTATCACTCAGAGTTTTGTCTGCATGTTCATTAGCTCCGTGTCCTTTTGTTGCTGTGTGTGTTTTACCGTGGTTCATGCCCAGAAGTGGGTTGTAAGCTTATATTTAGTGAGTATACAATATGGAAGTCCATCTGTCAGAGTTGCACTAAAAAAGAAGAAAAAAGAAAATGAGCCCACTACAGACCAAGTAATGATTTATTCTAATTATTACCTCTCAGTCGAACACAAGACGAAGTATTCTCTTAAATATTTGGACGTGATCCCAGAGCCGAGTCTCAAACAAGATCATTTTTGTACAAAAATATAATTAAATGATTCAAATTGATTTAAAAAAAATGTTAAAAAGACGTGAACATTTTTTTGATACCACAAAATGATCATTTGCAAACTGCTATTACTGTTGGCCATCTTATTATATGTTTAGACGTGCTGTGCAGTCAGAGGCTGGTCGGTTGTACCTTGGTTACAGTAAGGTAGAACTTTGAGAGTCCTGTCCAGCTCTTCACCTTTGACCTTTAGCATCAACACAGAGAACTCCTGTCTCCTCCTATTTTAAACCCAGGCCTTGTTGTGCAGGAAAATTCTGATAGAGCAGCAGGTTTTTTGAAACAGTCAGACAAACATGTCTGTCTGGTGAAGACGACCAAAGTCACGGCAATGACTTTTTTTTTTTTTTTTTTTTTTTTACAGTTTGGGAGCTGCTGTACAGATGACCAGGCTAAAGTGGTCTGACTTTAGACTCTGAATATTTATTTACTCATATACAGTAAACTGAACATACTATATAAGTGCATTATATAGTACAGTTTATGGTCACTACTATATATTATATATATTATATTTTTTGACATTTTAATTACTCTTAATCTACCAGCACTTCCCTTCTAAAGACTTCTTAAGACATTTTACACATTTTAATCTCTAGAAAGCTGAGATGCATTGACGCATGTGTAACCCAGTTTAAGTGTAACACAGTGTTTCCCAACTGTTTCTGTGCCAGAAAACCCCACGGCACACCACCAAACAAAAAACAATAAAGAAATAAAATATAATAAGTAATAATAATTTTCTGAGGCAGTGAATGGACACACAGCTGCTCAGTCACAGTATCAGTTAATATTCAACACATAACCGTAAATATTATCAAGTCAGAAATAGACCTGTTTAAACACAGAACACACACACACACACTCACATACACAGATAGGACCCGCCTGAAAAATTTCCATCCTGTTATCAAAGGGAAATATGGACAGCACTTAAAAGCTCCGGAGTGAATCACAGCTCTAAATCAACAGCCTCCTCATTGACTTTTCTCCTGTTTCCTTCTCTCCATTTCTCTCCTTTCTATTTCCCCCCCTCCTCTGCTGTGGTTCTTTCTTCCACCCATGGTCTTTGATTTAATGGATGTCGGCCATCTTTAGCTCTGTGGCTCGTTACATTACAGAGGCAGAATGAGAGGCATTTGTTACTGCTGTTATTCCACTGTAATGTAAATAAGCCTCCGCTTTGACACTTCACTCACTTATCTCTGCTGCATGTGGAGTGTTTTCACTGGAACGTCAACAGATATTTATAACTCCCAAACCATGGGTACTGCAGTATTTGAACAGGTTGTTATTTAGCTAAAGCCTAACTGCAAATACTGGACATTGCATGTCATTTGTATCCAGTTTTTTTAATAGTCTTGCCATGCAGTTTTGAATGCAGTACCACTTGTGGCCCAAAGGGGCTGGCTCTCTGAAGACATTTTTCATGTATTAATAGTCAATAGATTTTTGTGTTGTTACTTGAATTGACAACAACAAAGTAATGGAGGGATGTGGTTAACCGATCCAGTCGTGGGGTAGGATCTGAGTTCTACGACACAGCTGGACATACTTCCTACCACGGCGCCCTCTCCGTTTAATTTTTGCTAATGTCTCTTCTACATGTCATCCTTTTTGCTCCTCCCAGGTAAATTCACCTGCATCGAGGCTCGCTTCCACCTGGAGCGTCAGATGGGTTACTACCTGATCCAAATGTACATCCCCTCACTGCTCATCGTCATCCTGTCCTGGGTTTCTTTCTGGATCAACATGGACGCCGCACCCGCCCGCGTGGGTCTGGGCATCACCACCGTGCTGACCATGACCACACAGAGCTCTGGTTCCAGAGCCTCACTACCCAAGGTAAAGAACGGCAACAGAACCACACAGATACCTGGGAAATTAGGCATAAAGTGAAAAAAGATGGAAATGACTGAGGAAGGCAGGTGTTTTAAGATACAAACAAACACAAACTAACAAACGAGAGGAGATTTTTTTTACTGGGATTTTCAGATTAAAGAAATTAAAAAATCACGGTGTGTGTTTGCGTGAGGTAGGATTGTACTATTATCTCCAGGAGAGCTCTAATCCTTATATCTCTCTCACACACACTCACACACACACACACACACACATACTGTATATTGACATTAGGTGGTTCATGAACTCGAAATGAAACGAGTGAACCGTGATTCCCCTTCAGTTCAGCTGTCACAACAATGATCACGCAGCACAACTGAGTTTATGTGAAGGAAAGAAGGAAGAAAGGTAAAATTAAAAGACGGAAAAAAAGAGGACATCAACTCAGAGGGATGTTTGTTTGGGTAAATAGACTCAAGAGGCTGTCGCGCAGTCGTCGTTGACACTGATGTCACAGATAAAAAGTCCTCTGCTTTTATAAATATTCCTACCTGCCTCAGTAAAGGGTTTGTTTTGTAAGATTTTCATCTGTAAAAAAAAAAATACTCCGTCGATAAAGCGTTATTCAGCCTTCGGCTAGGAAAATGGAGGGTTTCAGTTTTGCCGCTCAACAAGAAAGTAATGTAAACAACGGTCTAAGCCAAGAGAGAAAAATCAGGGTGTTTGGTAATCTTCAGTCTTCTTCACTAAACATCTGATGTAAGACCACGGACAGTGGTGGTTTACTAATATGACTTCCTGTTGCAAAAATGTAAAAAGAAGAGAGAGAGATTCAAATATACTGAATATAACATATAAGCTAACTTTTATCTGATCTGATCTGAGACAGATATTAGAGTTGAACATTTTACATTTTAAGGCCGATACAATATTAAAGAGAATAAGAAAATTCAGCATTTAACTAACTAATGTTTAACAAGAAGTTAACTTTGGCAGAACTAGATGTAGAGTACATTAACAAAGAAGAGAGATTTGATGAAGAGAAGAAGAAGAAAAAGAGTGAGGAAATGAGAAAGAGAGAGTCAGAAAGACAGCGATCACAGCTGGATGTCTCAACGATCTCTGCCTCAATCACTACCAGACCTCACAGACCATTGACAGTCGTCGGTGTGTGTGCTCTGATCTAATGTCATGATTTAATTCGCTCTTTAATGGCGAATCGTGCCTTCATTTTGCGTAGTACAGATTAGATCGCCCCCTGCAGGCTGCTCTGTGTGAGCACAGAGGCCGATACAGAGAGAGTTGTCAACACAGTTCATGCATTTTCCAGGACAGCAGTGCGGTTGTGATCCAGTGAGACTTCATTACTATTGTAGAGAGGGTCCTCACCCCCTCCACCTCCCCTCACTTCAAACTTATTGGACTGAATGTGAAAACCAGAGGTGGAGAGGCCAGGAATAATTCAACAGCCTTTATGATACATATATATATACACACACACACATATATATATATTAAACCCTTACATAAAAACTGACACACTGCTATTATTTAATTGACTCTATAAATTTAAATTATACATTTGACATTTTAAATTGAACATCTGGCAGATGGGAAAATTGTGTTTGTTAACTTCTACTCTCCTGAGAAGAAAAGGGATATTTACATTTTATTAATATGAGAAAAAAAGAACATATTTCTCTTAAAACCACTTCCTCTGTCTACCTGTAGGTGTCCTACGTTAAAGCCATCGATATCTGGATGGCCGTGTGTCTGCTCTTCGTCTTCTCTGCCCTGCTGGAGTACGCCGCCGTCAACTTCATCGCTCGACAACACAAGGAGCTGCTGCGCTTCAGCAGAAGGAGACGACGACACATGAAGGTACGGCCGAGCAGAAAAATTGAAAATCCACCCCCATTTTTTTTTTATTTTGGTTTTTCATCTTCATAAGTTTCACTGCAACAGGGAGACGGTGGGAAGGAAAGTCGTTATCTGTGCAGCGCTGAGAAAATAAATGTCTCTGTTAGTAAAGGACAAAACTTTACAAGCAAACTAGAAAACACTTTTTAATCACAGTCAGTAGGAGGGTAATCAATCATGCGAAAACACAGCTGAAAGTAAGATTAATAGTCGTATTATGCCCTGAGGTTTATCATTTGGTTTTGACTTAATCATATTTTCACACTGTAACAAACCAAGTTGAATTAGAGTTGTTTTCTTTTTAGTCTAGCTCTGATAGTCAAACCAGCAACTTTCCAGTAAACAGACTGGAGACTATGATGCATAGGTTTTTAGAAGTAAAACACAGTTGTAATTTAAAAGTTGCACTTTTAAACTTCCATATAAGGACATTTCCATTACATTTAAAATTGAAATGACCAATATTCTTGAGTGTCTATGTATTAGATTTGACTGGTTTGGGTTAGTACTGCCATAAGTCAGCAACTGAACTGGGGAAACTTTAAAAGGAGAAGAGAGTGGTACACCACTAGGGGGCGACTACACAGGTTAACAACATTGGTTGTCAAAACTGGTGGAGGCAAGAAGGAAGAACCAAAGGACAGTTGTTGAGGAAATGAATGTCAGTAATAAAGACAAGAGCCGCAGGGTGAAAATACTACTACAGAAAAACAATTGGGAATACAATTGTACTTCTTGTGGAAGTAACTGTACAGTAATACTTTTTTAAATAAAGTATGTTCTCATTGAGAGAGAAAACAGGCTTGCTACAAGAGACTTTTTTATCCAAAATGACACGAGAGTTTGATCCAGGTTAATATAACGACTAAAATTGAAACATGAAACATTTTACTTGAATAATTCTGCTTTCTTTCTTTCATTGTTATACCAGAAATGTTATATTTTTTAATATAATAAAGACAAGTAGTAGTGATGCTGTAAGAGAGGATTACAATAACTAAATAAATAAATAAATAAGTGAGTAAATAAATGTCATTCTTGTAATCCTCTCAGCTGTGTCAGCGTGTGGAGAGATTATTGTTCCACCTGCTGCTGCATTTCCAGGTGAATCGGGGACAGAGGCGCTCTCTTTTGTTGTTTGTTCAGTTCCTGTACCCTCAGCTGCTCTTATTGATCTTCTTCAGAGACAGACTCTAGTGTAGGACAATGAAATAGAACCAGCGGCTCCAGAGCGACCCACATCTGTAACACTGAACCTTTAACATGTTTTTTTGCCCCGCAGTTCATTTTCACTTGTGTGACAAAAGGCGAGAAATATTTTCAGGGTATTTGATAAAAACTGATTCCATTAGATTTAGAAGCATTGTGTTTTTTGTGTGTGAAAACCCAACAGACAGTGAGTCTGTCAGAGATGAGTTCAGTCCACCATGTTCTAGTTTCAGTTTTATGTAGCAAAAAGACTGGTCATGTGACTGGAACTAACTTTCTCTGCTTATCCGTCCCATCGCGACAGACACGTCATAAAATAAACATGTGCATTTATGTCAACATTGGCTTTCAGCATGTTTTCACTGAGCACAGACACGTCACCTGAGACGGCATAAATATTAGACGATTTCAGACGGGGACTGAGGCAGACAGAAGTGTTCAGTCAGTGAAAAAAACTGACAGCATGAATGAACTGTATCTGAAACAGCAAACAAATGGAAATGTGCGTAGATGTGGGTCAGTTATGTAACGGTTGTCAGGAAATTTAACTGATGTTGCTCAGCAATGTCATCTGTTTCAAATTAAGTGATGAAGACATCATAAAAATAAATGAATCTTTTTTTTACAAAGACATTAAATCAAAATTCAAAATTGTTTTAATTATTTATCGTCAAGGTAACTTTAAAGTCAGATTTCCCACAGTTCTTTGACAGATCCATGTAATTACTTCGTGATAAATCGTTGAACAGACACATCAATGTGTAACTGGTGATGTTTCACTGTTCAGAAACATTTAGCAATCAAATTTTAATGAAATTTTGACTTTTAAAAATTTTTGTAGAAATTAAAAAAAATGTGTGTGGAATTGTAATGTTGTAGGTGGCTGAGGGGAAAATTATTTTTTCTGACTTCTTAAAAAAAAATCATTAATTATATCCAGTAAAATAAAAAGTACTCTTCGTGTCTTTGGGAAAAAATAAAAACACTTGACACTTTTAGCCACACTGCTTTGAGTCTATATACGTAATTAACACCGGAAGATCGCTGAACAAATCAAGCAAAGGGAACATTCACGATAGAAAACCACAATAAGACAGTCAACATTCATTCCATCTGCTCCGATGTGTAATAAATCCAGCAGTAGTGGAGCCACGTTGACACAGAGCGACAGAGAGAGAGAGAAACAGAGCGGAGGAGTCCTCAGGCATCGGACATTGTTGATTAACTTCTTTGCCCACTCGCTCTAATGTGAGTCTAATGTGATCCACCATTGTCCATTACTGCTCTGAGAGGGTCATCTGTCAGGTTTCAGCTCACTGTCACTTACTGGACTCCAACTCTGGTTGAAAAAAAAAACTATCTTTCTAAATATTAGCATGTTGGACTCTAAACTAACCCTGATTCCAAAAATGGGAAAATGTATTTCAGTATATGCAGTATTATTGTGGTACTACTGACAAACAGTAGAGCATTATAGACAGAATACACAGTGGAACCCAATAATAACATCAGCAGCATCTCCCTTTGTCCTCACAAAGTCACACGTGGAACACAAAAACCCAAAACTCAAGACTCAACCTGGTTTAATATTCAGGGCACAAACAGCTCTTTGTATTTCCACACGTGATTGTCCAAGCGTTCAACTGCCAGGACAATGGTTCGCCCCAAATTGATTTTCCCACCCAGTCAGAACAGCTTCTTTGAGAGCAGAGAATGAAAGAAGTATTTCAACTGCTGAATGTGTAAAAACTGTCAGGATTGTGTTGGATTATGGAACAACATCCTGAATTCCTGCATTCACTTATCGCACAATACAAATAATGACACGCTCAGTGGAGATAAATTTCTTCTATGGTCGAACGATTTTAAAGATGTGCAAATGTGTGTGTGTGTGTGAGAGAGAGAGAGAGAGGACATGACTTCCTGAAAAGTTCCACCTCAGCAAACATCTCAAAGAACAGTAGCCTGAACACACTGGTCTGTTGGTGTTGGACTAACACAGCCAGTATGGTTAGCACACATAACTGCGTTAGCCTGGATTGGATTAGAATAATATTTCCCCAGAGGGCTTTGTTGAGTCTGTTCATTTTGTCTTGGTAACAGTGATGAATGGGGTGCAGTTGAGTGTATGCTGGGAAGTCTCTACCCTCAGAGGGCACAATGTCCTCCAGGGTTTGAACGACTTTCGCCGAGCCGCTTAGATAATTCTACAACACTCTCCATAAGAGATGGGAATTGATGGTTTTGATTTCGAGGGCATCAGTGTGGGATAACGCTGCCTGACTAAATATCGATTTTTTTCAAAACATATATGTATGTATAAACATGTCAGTATGATTCAACCCAACCATATAGTGTTGTTTAAATTCAAGTCTCTGACATGTTCAGCATATGAACAGTCTGTGCCACAGTTTGACCTCAAATCTGCAGCAGCAGCCAGCACTAGTTTTGCTCTGAAAAACCCAGTGTCCTCATATGTCCTCAATAACCACAAAGCCTTGAAGGAAAGCCTGTGTTAGTGAAAAAAGAACAGTCACATGGAGCCATGCGCCAAACGTGAAGAGTGGTGAAGATGTTGCAATGTTAAGGGAAGGGGACTTAGCCTTTAGCTAGCTCCCTCCAGGATTTTACTTCGCAAATGGCAAAAGCAACATAGTTTGTAGCATTTGTGCTAGCAATTTGGTAGCACACCATATCCAAGCAGTGGTTTCACCCAGTCTTCAATAATACAGTAAACATGATGGGTAAATTCCTATGTGTATAAAACAAAAATTAAAAAGTAGGCTACAGCAGGTACTCAATATACTGAATATTGAAGTATTAAATGTTTAGCTTGGTACAGTATCTTGCCAAAAGACTACAATAACTAGGTGGGCTATATGGTAACAGAACTGAGTCGGGTGTTTTTAACAATTTAGATAATGAAATAATGTTGTATACTGTTGCAAGTAGTAGTAAACAAAGTAGTTTAATCACACCCAGCTTAACGTAGCCTAGCTGAGCTATGCTAGAATGTTAGCCAGAGTTAACTGCTCTTAACTAATCTAAAATGTTTTCAACCATTTTTTTTTTCCACGTGATATGTTTTAGAAAGAAATTGTTAGAACGTTTAAGGTCAGGTTGTTGTTTTTTGTGTGTGTGTAGAATGAACAAAAGGTTTAACGTGCTCTGCTGAAGCAGCAACATTGGGATCAGGCCGACGATGGAGGCGAAGCATAAAGAGCCAAGTGTTTTTGTGATTTCTGGAAGCGGCAGTCGAACGTTTCTGGGAATTGTCAGCACAGTCGCATAGCGTCCAATCAATCAGAGTGTGCAGAGGGTGAATTACATCGCCGTCTTTGACTCAGCTAAGCTCTCAGTGTTGGGCAGAGAAGCCGTTGTTGCAGCAGCAGCAGCAGCAGCTGGAGTCCCAGTTGTGCTGATTTCTGTAGTTTCTTCCTCGATGCTTTATTGATTCGTTAGTGACACTGATAGTCCAGAGAGAAGAAGAAGGAGACCGAGGCTGTACCTGTCTCACAAGTCTGTCTAATTAGGGAGATGAAGCGAGGGCGTCAAAACCACAGATACTGCAGCTGAGAGAAAGAGGGAGAGAGAGAGAGAGCAGTGTCCACGTTCAGAGTTACACTCCCTCCTGCTGGGGGTCTTAGGTAACTGCAGGAGCTACAGCTCCACCTGTCTGGCAGCTGCAGCTCACTTGTCTGAACGTCCTCTGACTTAGTGAAGACAGAGCAGTTTGGTACATCCTAGAACATTTATGACATCCTGTTATATAACAATGGCCTGGAGGTTAAAAGGACCAGGCCTGTGATTGGTAGATTGCCCCCTGCCAGGGCTGAAGCCCAGCTTTGGTGTGTTGAACATGCAGTAAGGCTGATGTGTTGTATGAAGAGGACAACATTCTGTAGTGTCTCTCTGAGAAGAAGTGGTTGGTGCGGCTTGCAGACGGAACCGTCGTCTCCTCAGGATTAGGTGATATAATGCGTTGTTTACAGTCATGTCAGGATTTTGTTAAATTACAAAATGAACTTTGTTGATTTTCAGGATCAAGTGTTGAAGGAAGCCGACATTTATCCACAGACATCCGTCAGTGTTTGTACAGGCAGCGCACAGCGTAAAAAAAAAAAAAAACTCAAACATTTACAGCGCTAATGCCTCACAAGGGAATCAGGATTAAACATTGATCAGTAATAACCCTGCAGACGGGGAGGGAGGGTTGTCCTCTTTTAAATGCCTTTGATCCCTCAGGCTGTTCATCCTCTCTCAGAACAAAGGCAGATAAGTGAGTGTGAGGATCAAGGAGGAAGTGTCAAAGCACCAGGAGAGTGATCAGTGATCTCTGCAGGCTGAACTCCAGGCCCTGGATTGACAGCTGGCTCCTGACAGAGCGTTAACTACACTGTCTGCCTAACACATCGTTCCTCTAGGATTTCATTAGAATGATGGCCGCCACACATGCTGTTCACACACCTCTGTTTCACTCTCCGACTCCCTCATCTCTTTTAGAACTACTGATACATTTGTTCGGGCCTTAAACACACCACCACACTGGTTACAGTCATTACCTTTAACAAAATATGCACTATTCCTGTAGACTTCTATTCACAGACACTTGTTTTGGTACCCGGTGGAGACACCCCCTAGTGGTTACCTGTCAACTTCTGGGCTTCACTCTTCAGATCATGTGGTTATTTCTGTCTTATTTTATTATACGCTCTGAATAAGATAAGAGTTTGTATAGCTGTAGGAGTGTGTCCACATTAGAGCACAAGTCTGTCCTTAAATAAATGTCTCTATAAAGCAAAGCAGAGAGATGTTTTCAAAGTCACACCCGCGTTGTAATTCCCCTCAGCTCCACAGAATCCTCTCACCGCTGACATATTGATACTGAAACCTCCTAAAAAGCTCCAAATGCCCTGAATTGAGGAGAGAGAAGCAGGAAGGGAGACAGAAACGGGAGGAGGGGGAGGACACTTGGAGATAAATCCACCAGAAAATAGATCAGCTAAGGCAAATGTATAATATATTTCCTTTCCCTGGTGCCGTCCCGCAATTGCTTCTGGAGGGAAATCATGAAGCAGAACACAAGCCGAAGAATTCCTGTGCCTCAGGCCGCGCTCTCTTGGGGGGAGACTGATGCTGCCGCTAGTTGGGGCTGACACCTTTTCCCAATCCTGTTGAATGTAAAGATGCAGGGCCTTCCAAAACAAACGTCCAAGGGTTATATTTGCAGGGAGATGCTGCTGCTTCCTGCTAATCTGCTCGATTAATCACATCAACAGAGGCGCCGATATAAAGGCTTCAGTCAAGGAAGGTGAAACATGATGGATGATCCAGCTGAATGGTCCTCCTACCATTTATTTCCCCCTCTCTCTTTTCTAAACCTTCCACCTCCCACATCATCCATAGACTTCAGGTACTGTGAAGTTCTGTTTACACAAGGGGGAGTTACATTTTATGAGTTGAATTTCATCATGAAAAGAGGAATTTTACAATAATAAGAGATTGACTTTTTAATACCTTTAGTCAAAGTACATTCAGTACAGCTGATATGAATACATGCTGACTGTTACTGTGAAGCCGTCCATGCTGGCTCCACTGTCAAATAGGTCTCTGAAAAGAGGGAGTTGACCTTGAGGCAAAAGGTCAAATAGATGATCCTGAGTGACGTTAACACCTTTTTCCAGACCATAACAGGACAGACTGAACAAAAAAATAAGTTAAATATAAAATCACACTTGATCTTACCAACAGAGGCAGCAGTGTGCCAGGATCGTTTTATTCTGAAATTCCTCATAATCTCTGTAGACTTGGCCGTAGGAGATGGAGGAGTTCACCAGCTCCGGTCTGTCTCATCAAATCATTCAAATATTATTAACTACTACAGCTGACATCTAGTCCAACAGTGTGAGCGTTTCCTTTTAAAACCTGACATGATGAAGTGGTGGTGAAGGAGGAACGTTGTCCGTATTGCACTAATTGATAAAGTATGTGATTTGACATTAATGTCCAAATGTCCACGGCTCTCGGTCTTAATGGAAGGTTTAGAGCAGAAGTGTGTGTGTCTACGGGCTGCAGAATTTTCCTCCTCCCCTTTCACTCTTTCTCCTCCTCGTCTCTCCTTCGTCTCCCTTTCGCTACCTCCCCCAACACGACCACATTAATCACATGGCAGGAAGAATAAAGCACAGCATCTGTAATAGTTTAGTAGCATCACTGAAGGACAGGCAGAGGTCGACGGCTGCAGCTCCAGTGTTTCTGTATGTGTGTGTGTGTGTGTGTGTGTGTGTGCATGTATTAACAGTAATGAATGGGTTCGGTAGGAAGAAAGGACAGAATGGGGACACGGGGCTCTAAAAATGGATCACTACCTGGTGGTCTGAAACACACACTCATTGACACACCTGGGTCCATTCACAGACACACAATTTAAACTCCACTTTGAACCTGTAGTCAGTCAACAATCCCTGGAAAAAAAATCTTAATTACAGTTTTGACATGATATTGGTGGAGGTGTACAGCTCCACAGCTCGTTCTTCATACTGTCATACTGGAGCACAGGAACCTGTCTGTTTATAATTAGCAATTTTCTACAGGATAATCTACCTTTCCAGGGGATATTGGAGTGTGTGTTTTTAAAAATCTCTATGGGTGACCTTTTTAACTCTGAAGGACCACCTCCTCGTGTTTTTCTATTTCAATTCACACAAGGACACACATATATAACGCCCAGTGTTTGTGAACCTGATAAAAAGCCCATTGTGTCTCCTGTGATGACATGGAAGGCTGACGTTGAAGATAAGACTTTTAATAATCGGACTGTGTTCTGGTGGAAACACCAAGCAATAACCTTAACACACACACACACATATTCACACACATAATCATGGCGTGTCAGTCACGTACACTGAGTACACTGGTGTGTTTCTGGTAAAATTATTTTCATAAATTTTATAACGAGCGGCTATGCTAACCACAACAGTGTCTCTCTGTCAGCTCGACATAAATTATTAACTGACATTTGAGATGTTTGGAAGAGGTGTCCCATTTTGTACTGATTGATTTATGCCACGACTGTGCGTTATAAATATGTTATAACCATGTGGTAGAGAAATGGATAAGGTTATCAATGAGTGATGGGAAAATGCCAAAGTCCTTAAAAAAAGTAAGAGGGAGAGAGGTGAAGAAGTGAAAGGAGACTTCTGCCAAGCTGCAGATCAAACTTCAATGCGAAGGTCGAAACTTCTGCTACAGATTTTTGATGTCATTCATTTTAAATGAGAACATTCTGCTGAGTGTTTTCACAAAGACAGGTCAAACTCTCATATCTGGTGGATCTAGCTCTACAAGAAGATTTACAAGACAGTCAGAAGAACTGTCTGGACTGGACTGTCGCCACGTAGAAGCATTTTGTGCCTAATCCTGGCCACATGGGGGCGTATTTAAAAAAAATTCATCTGAACTACCTAGTTGTTACCTGCTGTGAGTTGGTGTTACTTCATATTAGACATTTACAGCCTTACCTTCTCGTTGATTCTAACAAAACCAGTTTTGACATCAGTAAAAATCCCCGTCATCTGTTATAAATCTTCAAGCTGGAAATAACTGGCATAAAATAACGAGAGGAAAAAATGACATGGATAAAAAAAACCCCACTCCAGTCAAACTCACTTCATAAAGTTGTGATGTTTCACTTCATCGCAGTCATTGTCATGTTTGATTTTTTTGTTGACACATCAGTTTGTGACTCACACACACATCTTGAACTTGTTCTTGCACTATCATCCTCACACACACCTCCTCAACAGTAACGTCTTTCTCTGGTTCCTAACAGCCTGAGTCTTGGCCTGTGTTGCAGGAGGATGAGACGGGCGAAGGGCGCTTCAGCTTCCCCGGCTACGGCATGGGTCCTGCCTGCCTGCAGGCCAAGGATGGCATGGCCATCAAGGGCAACAACAACAACGCCGGGGCGACTTCAGCCGCACCCGAGAAGAGCATCGAAGAGATGAAGAAGCTGTTTATTAGCCGGGCCAAGCGTATCGACACCGTGTCCCGCGTGGCCTTCCCACTTGTCTTCCTCATTTTTAACATTTTCTACTGGATCATTTACAAGATCATTCGCAGTGAGGACATCCATAAGCAGTAGTTCAGAGGCCAAGGAGGAGGGGGGAGGATTACAACAGCATGAAGAGGAGAAGGAAGGAATCAAAAAGAGATAAAGAGAGAGATCCCTTGAAACAGAGATGTCACAGCCACTTTTTTCACTCCACCTTTATTCGTCCTCTTCCTCTTTTTGCTCGAGGATGAGGTGCTTTTGTCGCGATCGCTCCAAATCCGCCCCCCGTGACTCCTACTACCCGTTCTTTGCTTCCCTGCCCCCACTTTGTTGTCCTCTTCCGCCCTGACTCTGCCCTCGCTCCCTGCTCTTTCCATGTTCTCCTCAACCCTCCCTAGAATTATCCGGACCAGTGCAATAGCAATGCAGTAAAATGCATGATCAATGAATGTGGCAATATATAAAGAAAAGATGAAAAACGAAAACGTTACCACTGACTTTGGAAGAACGGAAGGATTTTAACGCGCGGGAAAGACAGACTGGAGTCTCGTTTGTTTGTTTTATTTTTTGTGGGAAGACAGATAAACAGATGATGCTCAACATGAGGTTGGCAGGGCGGTGTAATGTTCTCATGCTTATAAAATGTGGAATAAAAGGTATAAACTTAAAAAATGTGTTGAAAAATGGGGAAAAAGGGATTGTTTTCATACACTGTTCCTGCTTTTCCAAAAAAAAAAAATAGAATAGGTTGGAAGGTGAATTCAGTGCTTCCATGAATTAAGGCGATGCAAGGATGTGACACATTCTTCTATATCTAGATTTGCTTCTAATGTGTATTGCGAGCACTCGTCAACGCTTCATTCTCCCTCCATGAAACACTTGAGGTTTTGCTGCTGCCGCCGTCAATCACATGACTGGACATAAAACAACAACAAAAAACTAAAAAAAAACACTGGACAGTGTTGAATATTACGGAGAAAAATGTATCTGTGGTTGAATTCTCTACATGTCATTTATTTAGGGTCACGTCGCAGATTTTTTTTTTTCTTTTGGCTTTTATAACTCACGTGCCAATTTTAACCATGTTATCTGTGTGTCCATTGTGTGGCGCTGTGCAGCTTCAGAAACATTTGGTTGTTGTGTTTTGTTCCTGTTTTTTATAACGTTTGGTTCCAGCGACAGTCTTCGTTTCTGAAGAGGTATTTTTTTTTGTTTTGTATGAAGCGAAACTATAGACATGTTTACATTTTATTCTTAGTGCTTCCTTGCTTTGGTCCACCCCCGCTCCCCCAGCCTCCCATACCATGAGGACATGTGTAGTTAAATGTACAGATTATACACCTGATATACCTTAATTAACTGTATTTTTATTTTATTTACTTGCGCAAATTGTAGCTGCAAATGTCCCAACTTGTGAAAAAAAATATTCTCGTCCATTCTATTACCTCAAACTAGGTTTGTTTGGTCCGATTTGTGTATTTATTTATTTCGCTTAGCAGCAGGCTTCTCTATGCAACGTTGAGTTGTTTGGATTTGTTCGTATCATTTAAAAAAAAAAAATTTCTCTACCTGTGATTTTTTTTTTTTTTTTTGGTTATTTTTGTTTTTGTTTTTCCAGGTCAGCATATTTATTCTTTTTTTTTGTTTGTTTTTAATTCGGGCGTCAACTGCCATTAAACACCAAAAAGAAAAGAAAATGCAAGTTTAGGATGTGACAAGAAGCATCTGATAGCAGCAGCTAATCGTCAGTGGTTTTCTCCCTTTTTACTTTGCAGCGGGCTTCTCTATGCAACGATCAGTATCTGTGGTAGTGCAGTTTTGTTTTTTGTGTCCATCCCAAATAAAATGTATTATGAACTGAGGACAGAACAGAACTGACAGTGTTGAAGGAAAACCACTTAAAATACACACAGTATGAGAGAGTCTGAAAATCTATTATAAGCTGGTTGAGTTAACACAAACAATAGACAACGCTTAAATATTCTGATTTTAATGGAATGTTTGTTTTTTTTAACATTTGTTTTTCCTTTATTTGTAATGTTTGCATATTGGTTAAAAACCCAAAAAGTGCTTTTTTCCTTAAAAGATACAAAAAGGAAGTTTTTGTAGCAAATTTTAAAAATACAACTTCATGGGTTTTTATTTTTATAATTAAATATTTCTCATTTCTTTTAATACAACATTTATTTAATACATTTTTTTCTGCACAGCTGTGTCATCGTACTGTTTTGTTTAAAAAACAAATCAAGAGTAAAAGGAAGGAGACAGTGAATTACTGAATAAATACAAATGCTGTGAAACACAACAGACTAGCCTAGCTTAGCTATTCTGACGGTTTTCTCATGGGTGTTTATGGATTTTAAGATCTATACAAGGAGTAAAAAATGTGTCTACTTGTTAAGAAGTAGTAAACATATATTTCAAAAGTTTTGGTTGTGGCTGGTTTCCCTTACCAGATAGGTTAAAGGTCAATCCTTCAAATACAGAAAAGGGTCTTTTCTTATCTAACTGGTACCAGAACCGATCATCCACATGTCACTGGCAGTTTAACACCAGTCTGAGTTGGTTTTAACGCAGAGCCAAAGATTGTGTTGGTATGTTTGGTTGCTCCTCATGTTTAACACAGTCATTGTTGCTTCTCTTTTTTTTTTTTCTTTTTTTGCTGTGGCTTTAAGGCAAGATTATGTACTGTAATATCAAATTATACTTTGTTTTTGAGTTCAGTATTTGATCACTGTAAGATGTTTGGATTTATTGTATCTTAAGATAAACAGATATTTCTGTGTACAAACTATTTTCATACCTTACCTCCTCTGGTGTAAAAAAAGGTTTGATTCTTTTTTGAATGGAGCAGATTATATTGTCACTTTATTTAATAATTTATGAATCTATTTATTTACAGTCAGGTGATCTGATCTTGTTGACAAGAACAAAGATCACTGCGACAGTACACGTGTCAAAGAGTTGTCCTGTATCCACTCATGTTCACTTCAGTGTTTTGATTTCAGAGTGCATCAGACTGATTGGAAGGGCTAACCTTTGTCATGTTCATTCTTCGTCTTCATACATTCCGACGTGTTAGTGCCATAGACAATAATTTACCCTCCTGACTATGCATTATATCGACTAAAGAAAAGATTCATGTCGGCCATTTTAAGGCTACGGTCAATGAGGAAGCAGTTCGTCCAATGAGAGCCTCTCACACACACAGGGTTGGCCAGAGAGCGCCTCCTGCCCCAGCACTCTCCTGTACTCTTCCCTTCTCCTTCTGCACTTATCTCCACCCTGGTTAGGTTTCACTAGATAGTAGACAGAGTTCCTCTTTGTAGCTTGATTGCTAATTCTCCCCACGTAAGTCGCTTTGGATAGAAGCGTCTGCTAAATGCAGAAATGTGATGTAAATGTAGGCAAAAACATCTGAAGGACTGAGAATTAGCTTTGGTATTTAGAGTCATTTTAACACATTTTCAGAACATAAACATCTTCTAGGGTAGCAGCTCAGCACTGGTTATAGACGTTGGCTCACATGCTTAGCTGTGTGTTTTGCTTCGTCTGTGTCAAATTTTATGTGGCTAGATAAAATCAGTTATTTAAAAAGAAAACGCCAGAACACAGGCTCTGTAGCACTTTGCACAAAAACATTTATGTAGAACCGTGAGATGCCTTTAGATGTTAAATGTTAGCTAGTAGCAGAGAGCAAATTTGTTCACCCGTTCTCCAGCGCTATGTAGCAGAAGTGTTTCCTTTCTTAGTTAGCTTCAAAGACAATTTGTGTGCGTTAGAAACCACGTCGTGTTCTTTCCCAGTTTCTATCGCTGGTAAATACCAAAGTTAATATACTGTCAATATTTACTAGATTACTATCAACTTAACCGCCTGTTTACAACAGCTGATCAGAGAATTGCTGCAGCAAAGTAAATAAACAGAAGGGTTTGAAGATAAAACATGAAGGACTAAAGAAGCTGAGCAGGCAGGGGTGCATTCTTATGGGAGTGCTGAGCAGAGCAGAGCAGCCTCATGTAACTACTGTATTAATACCAGGGAGGAGGTTCTTATTAATATTAACCCCTATGTGTGTAGTGTCTCCTCTTTGATTATGGCCTAAACACAACTGGAAAAGCTTTTTTTTTTTTTTCTCGTCCGTGCCATAGAAACTAAACCAGTGCCCTGAATAAATTTGATCACTATTAGCGATGACGCTCCCATCTGATCATGTAAGAATCCATCTTGCCTATAATCTGTCTCTGTGTCAGTTACACATCTCATCGTGCCATATGTGGGTTGGATTTGCAACCGGAAAAAAATACCCTGGACCTAAAGGTTGCAGTGCATTTGTCTGCCATTTACTGTGAACGGTTTGGTTTGGTTTGTTTGTTTTTTTACATCACTTGTTTCCTCCTCAGGTGTGGATGTTCTGTGTGTGTGTGTCAAAGTAATATTAGAGCTTAGTCATCGGCCTCACCTATTATTAATCATTGTTGTACTGGTGGGGTAAAGGAAGGATGGAGGGGGGAGGGGTGAACAACATGAGCTGGGTTCCTGGTTTATTGTGTTCTGATTCCTACGGACTGAGCGATGAAAGGACGTGTCTTTGAAAGTTTATAAAAACGATAGATTTTGAAGTAGCATGATTTGATTTGTTGATGATAAACGACTCTATTTTTGCTTCTTTTGTTTTCTCTCGTATCTTATTGTACTGTATGTATTGTACAATCCGATGCCCTGAAGGAGAAGACAAACTACAGTGACTCCTGATCTGCTGTGAACTAAAAGAAACATTATTATGATTATTGTTGTGATTATTATTATTATTATTATTATTATTATTACTGATGATATTATAATTCCTTATTTTCTTTGCACATGTTGGAATGGCCTTACGTTTGCTTTACTTGCTTCTATTGTGTATTGGCACAAAGTGCACCCGTTTGGTTTATGGTTTTTTCGCTGAAAATTATAAAGCTTATAATCTGAGAGTGCACATCAGAGCAGGATGAAAAAAAATAATAATGATAATATTAAAATTCAGCAGATTTTTTGGTTTTTATTTTTTCATTAATCTAAAAAACAATATTTTGCATGAATATGAATACAATGGCAGATATTTTGGCTTGTACAAAAAAAGTAAAGCAATTTGAAGAGAAAAAAAAGAATGTACCGTTTCTGCTGTATCTGTATATATCTAAATATTTATTGAAATATGTCATACTACTAATTCTATTAACGATTAAAGGTTTTCTGAACAAAAATCTCTTTACCTGTTTTTGAACATTGTCAAGGTTGTTGGAGTTGGATCTTTTTGCTTTCTGTTCTTCTACTCAAGGATCTGTGTAATCATGAAAGAAAATGTATTAAAAATTGCAAATAAATCCTCGCTGCAGGGTCTTTTTTATTTTTTCAGGTGGACTCACCACCGCTGCCCACCAAGTGTCAACCTTTACTTTTTAGATAAGAGACCAACATTTGAAGCTACAAGCCCCCCTTACGTGTGTGTATGTGTGTAAATCCCCCATTTCTGAGCCTCAGTTCAGGAGGACACAGGCTGCGTTTCATTGGTGGATAATTAGCTGACAGGAATCACCTGTGAGGAACCTTCAAATCCCAGGAGGTGCAGCTGCTGAGTTTCTTTCCTCATTTCCAAACTGCCACCTGTCCTGAACACAGACCTTTAAAGAGCTCTGCTCGTTTTCCTTTAAGTGTGTTGTTGGTTTAACTTTTATTTTTACTGCTTTTTACACAGAGTATTGGACAGGTGAGGACAGACTGTGTCCAGCAGAAAGTGTAAAACAAACAGTCCTTGTCAGGCTGAGTGCAAACGTTTCAGCTGCATTCTAGTCAGTTTGCCTCAAAGTAAAAGTAATCTTAGTACTATCATTTCATTCAACTCAGAACTCAGCTCAGAAATATTCTGGATTGTTTTTGTACCACTTTTTACGACCAGTAACTCTGGCCTTTAGTTCGCTTGATGGATTTTCACAGGACTTACAGTGGGCTTTTCTTTGCAGGCAAGTGAATGAATGCGTTTTTTTTTTAATCTGTTTAACCAACTGAAGTATAAGTAAGTATATTCTTAAAGGATGTTTTATATAAAAGACAAAAGAAATTGTCATCTGCGTTTAACTCCCTTTGAGATATAGAGAATATTTGAGGAACATGATTTCCGTCATCTGATGTAACGATCTGATCCTCGTTTTGGTGTCAATTATCTCCACGTTGTCCATTGTTCAGCTCATAACTTAATAATAGAGCTGAATATGAAGAACTCCTTCTCCTCCTAATGCTTCAATGATTAAATAATTAAGCTTCTACCCCATAATGAGCCTTTGTTGTGTGTGTAAAAATTTGTTTTTTTTTGACAAAAAAAAAAACAATAAATATTTAGTACAACAATGTAATTATACAGTATTTTTGAACAGTGTTGTAAAATTTCCTTAATTTCCATTTCAGCCTCAAGTCTCCAGCTGTTCTAAATCAAGGTCTTCTGCTGAAGGTAACAATGAAATGTTATTAATAAATGATTTGATATGTATTAAAAATAAATTATTCATGCTAAAGATATCACAGCAGATATTCAGCTGCATGACAACTCAGAGCTGAAGGTCACATGACTGCAGTCTGGACTGTGACACCTCCAGTGCTTCACAGTTGTAATGATTACAGAGACACAAGCCGACACTTTATGGATCTTTGACACAAGTTCACAAGTTTTATTTGTCAGTTTCATGTAAACACAACACATCACGTCTTTGTTCCATTAGAGACAGTACCATTTCTCAACACTTTAGTGAACCTTACAGGCCCAGACTAGTAGATGCGAAGACAGTTGGGCGTCAGTATATCTTTCATGAGATTGAACCTCCAACAGATTTATATTTAGCTCACAGTGAGACATAAACCAGGAGCCATTTTACATTTGTGAGTCAAGAACCCACGACAGAAAGAATAGTCAAAGCCTGAACTCATTAGACAAGTTTGCCTAATATTATTTGAAACCCAACGTTTTAAATACTACTCATTAAACCTATGAGGCTACAAATATCAGGCTGTTGGTGGTCATGCGTTTGTAAGACGTGTTGTAATCAGGAGGGAGAACGGCGCCCCCTACTGGGCCTCTTTTTTGCCAGGAATACATTTTTTTCATAACATGTCTATTACCAAGAGAACATGTCAGGAAACTGGCACTTGTCTTAAAGAGTAGCAAATGGAATTTATTGATTCTCCATATTCCCCAAAAATATTTCACCAGGTCAGAAATCATTGTCCTTTGCTTCACTCTAGAAAAAGACAGGAGGAGACAAAGGATTTAAAACAGTAAATCACTTTAATTTAGTTCTCTCATTGACAGGTGAGCTCAGTTTAAACATGGTGACAACAAATGAAGTGCGCCTGTACAAGAAGCCTAACTAGATTCATGGTATGAAATGTGCTCAGTTTTTGGACGCATTCATGAACTCACGCAGTTCTACGAGCCAATGTCAACTCAAATAAAAAAAAACAAACTACAGATTTAGCTCTCGACCTGACAGAATAAAAAGATGAGACAGATCATCGCTAGATACAACGGTGGCAGCAATACACAGGATTGCCCAAGCAGTAAAGTACACGTTCCTTTAAGAAACAGGGAGAGAGAACGCGAAAAAACAAACAACCTAACGCCTGGGTTTTTAAATCCCCATTTCAAGTAGTATTTACTCTTATTTTTGTGTGTGTGTATTTAACTTGTTAATCTGTAATAAATCCAAGTTCAGCATGAAAAGAAAACAAAATGACAAGTCCAGATAATACATGTGAGGCCTCCACAAGAGGGCAATGAGGAGGTCTGAGGAGGAAGCCATCTTGGAAACAGACAAAAACACTGGATGTTTAGCAGGAGTCTGTGTCGAGCTCTCGGCCTAAAAACCTGTGTCAGTTACAGAGTGATCCTTTCCAGACGTGTTCACCATCATGGTGACGAGGAAAAGAAAAGTGAGGAATGGTGTGGTCTAAACTGAGGTTCAGCCCCTAAAAAAAGGATTACATGCATGTTTTACCTTTAATACAAGTCACTTCTCAGTGTCGAGGATTTAAGGCATTAGCTGCGGATACAGCGCCACCTTGTCATGGATGTGTCATTTTATGCATGGATTTGAAGGGCATGACTCTGTCCCTGTTCAGTGAATGTAACTAAAGATGCAGTGAACTTCTCTTAAAACCAAAACAACACAACAGCCCACAGTCCAGGAACTCTTGAACAGCCAATTAAAAATGTGTGTAAAAAGTGTTTCGGTTGTCATCTGTACTGCAAGTCGTACAATGCTTAATCCTACCGAGTTCTGGTCCAATTGTTTTAATCGCTTTTAAACCATTGCCTCCTGTGGCAGTAAAATGAGTAAAAATTAATTGGTGAACACGCAAGTAACTTGAATTCAAACAGCAAACTAACTCAAGGTTTGAAGCCTGGGAAGGTGATGGAGGAACGAGGAGGATGTGGATGAACTGCCTCACTGGCGCTGGGCGGAGTAGCGTCCATCACTGGGCCCAGAACCACGTCCGGAGCCAAAGCTGGGTTTCTGTGCTACTCCTCCACGGGCTGAAGGACCTCCACGGCCTCCACCTCCTATGCGCTCTCTAATACCACCAGGACCCCGAGGACCACGGGGCATTGTGTCCCGTCGGTCACCCTCCCGGGCTGAGCGTGTTTTCTTCTCCTCCACATTAAGACGAACATCACCTCTGAACTTGATGGGCTGAATAAAATAAGAATTTTATATTGGTGTACTTTTGATGTAGACAATAAGTTGTTGCAATACCACTAGAGGGCTACACTGAGTAAAGTGTGAAGAAGAAAAAAAAAAATCTTACCCGGCTACTAAGGATTTTCTGGACTGGTTCAGAGTCGTCAAACACGACAAAGCCAAAGTTTGGCAGCTTCCCTCCACTGTTGATCCTCAGCTCCAGGACTGTTCCAAACTCTGCATGAAAAAGTAAGCATGTTTTTATGTACAACCAAATTATTTTTAAAAATGTGTTCACGTTTTTCACTTCAGAATCCACAAGTCATCTTACGTTCAAAGAATTCCTTAAGTTCGCTTTTGTCCACGTCATGTGGAACGTTGCCCACAAACACCTGGTGGGCATCTGGATACCTGATCACCCTGCGGCCCTCAGATTCACCTTGCTCACCTTCTCGCACTGAACACCCCCCCAAAAAAAAATCCTTTGGTGAGTGGCCAGTATACAGATTCTGTTCATTCTGTATTCACCAACTGTTGATTGGAGGTTGTTAGTGCAAGTACCTGGTCTGGGTCCTCTGTGCACAGGTGGAGGACCTCCAGGTCTTAGCTCCCTGGGCCGCTGATCTCTCTGTGGTCTTTGTGTGGATGTCTGAGACTCTGGTTTTACTTCTACTCGGGGCTAAATGAACAAAAGAATTTGTTAGAGATCTCAAGGTGGGAGAAAAAAAAGAAGAAAAAAAAACAGATCTTGCCAAAAATCTACCTGTGCTGAGGGAGTGGCTTTAACGACATGTGGAGGAATTCCTGAGACGGGGACTGCACCACTGGGAGGAAGATTCTTACTAGTAACTGAAGCCCATGAGAATGGCTGCAGAGAAAACAAGAATGATTATGATGGTAGACAAAAAATTTCAAAGACAGAATGAGAGGATTTTGATGTTAACTTGCAACATTGCAACATTGTGCGTGTGCCAATGTCATTACCCTGTTCTCTTCTGGAGCAGCAGGTACCGGTTCAGCGGATACAGGAGCCGTTTCAACAGTAGTCGGTGCAGCAGCTTGACTTTTCTCTGTGGCATCATCAACAGTGTCAGCCTGCGCCTCCACCAAGGTCTCCGACTTCAGCTCCACAGGCTCAGATTCCTTCTCCAGGTCTTGTTCTGGTTCAGGACTGGCCACGGCCACTGCTTCTTCTTCCTCTCCAGGAACAGCTGGTTCTGGACTGCAGAAGACAACATCATCAAAGTTAGTATAGACACACGTACATATACCATCGAGTCAAACACCACTTGTAGGATACACACCAAGCTGTGGGGTCGAAGAAGGGGGCAGATTCCTCAGGAGCGACGTCAGGAGAAGCAACCCTCTCCTCGATCTCCTCCTCATCTTCAGACTCTGATAAAACAGTCACAAGAGAGGAAATTAAACTTGCTTAATTTAATACTTAACTAAACTTAATCTTTTTCCGCTGCACAGCATGTAGTTCAGGTGTTTCAAAATGGGTTTGATCGAAGCTCCTGGCACACTGTCCACTTGACTCTGTGCCAGGAGCACTGATAACTTGGCTTGGCTTGCACAAAAATGTCTGGCATCAGGGACACAAAGCAAACCAGATTTGAGCTACCTAAAGCCTCCACTAATAAAATCTCTGTCAGCTTAGAAATATGTCCTTTGTATTAACTCACTGTAAGACACTTCTCAGCACAACACTAGGGTATCCAGACTGGGTCACAACACTGTAGCATTATTCTAAATGGAAACGGTAAGAAGTAAATATGTTAACAACCCAAATGTGGTTTTAAATCCTGTTTTTGCTTTAAGCGAGTTTAACATACGAATAGAAAATTAAGTAATTTTTATCTTTAGCTAAATATAAGCAACTGTAGCCAAATGTTGCTTAAAATGTTCTCTCACCTTCTGGAGGCTCTGAATCAGAGTCACCAAACACCTCATCCTGGTAACGGAAAACGTCGTTGTGGACATAGAATTTGTTTGCAACAGTACCCTGGGAGGAGGAAGTTGAGTAAAGTTAAAAATTGGACGAACACAATGGTTTTAATATCAGTATTGACAAACGAAGGTCAGCAAACCTCAGGTGCCAGCACAAACGTCTGCATGAACTTCCTCATGGGCTGCATGTTGTTGGATAGCTCACCCATAACCTGCACCACCACACCCTCATTCAGGGTGGTGTGAGCATCCACGTGACGAATCTTTGTGTGACAATCGTGGAAACTCAGGGCCATCACTTTCTTATGGATCTCCTGCACACAAATTTTTTTTGGATTTATGCCCATTTTTACCTTCCTGTTAGTGGTTGAGAGTCAGATTTGGCATTTCTCTATAGAAACTAATAAAGTCAACATACAGACTGGCCATAAACAGCCTCTGCTGGTTTTCCGTTACAGTCCAGCCCACCATGTACATAGGAGGAGTTCTTTCCATAAAACCTGAGCAGAGACACAAAAGCACAGTTTAATAAATATACAAACAAGCATATGTATGTTCACAACACATTCACATCATTAATGGTGCCTTAAAACCCTGCATTTTTGAGTCAACGGCAAAATCAATTTATTGCAGAAGAGACAACAGAACAGGTTGGAAAATTGCTCAACACACAAAAGTAACTTTTAAAAACTGTACAGTAAGGGAAAAAAAGAATCTACTGCAATTTCAAAGGACAATTGCCATTTCCACATCACATCCATACACGCAAAAAAACAGCCTATATTTAATTATTTGTAGATAGTACTATTGACAGTATAACTGTATAGTATTGTTGTTTGCACCTGTGCAGGTAGTCCGGGGCCTGGTTCAAGAGCGTGTAATACTGTCGGACAAACTCCCGCCCGACCAGCTGGGCACTTGGCTTCTCCATCACCATTTCTTTGGTCAACTGGAAATATCTGAAACAGCCACATAATGTAAGATCTCTTCAATTGCACATGAATAAAAAAAAAAGGAAAGAAACATCTCAATAGCCCAAAACTATATAATCTAACGTGAGACACTACTAGAGACCAAATAGTTGCTGAGACAACAGTCCTTGTAACCCAAGGGCTAAACAACAGTCCAAGAAGGTGACGTCAAATATTTCACAAGTTGCATTTGGTTCTAGGAATTAGCCTTGTTGCGGTGGAGTGACAAGTCTTGCAACTCATAAAAATAAAAAAAGTATAATTGTTGCAACACTGTTGTAATGTCAGCACAATTAAAGTAATTTAACTAAACAAATACTGACTGCATTGAAAGGACTCAACACTGGTTCCCAAATGTATTCTGTAGACCCAGTTTCTAAAGTTACACCTTAGTGACCCAGTTAAAAACATGTTGCTAAGAACAAATTGTGATGTTAGTGTCATTTCAAAAACAATGAGTGTAGTAGATTAGAATATAAAGATAAATTAACCCAACAAACTTAAGAGGTGCTGGGACAGAACAAGTAGAGGCCATGCTACTGCAATGGAGCTTATAAATAGCATTAATATTTTTAGACTACATCGCAATTTACTAACTATATCTTGATACAGATCTCAAGAAAACACCTGAAAGAACGTTCCCTTGACCTTTATAAAACTTGTGATTCCCACTTATAACAGCAGATTTTAAATCTGCATGTAACATGGTTTAAATCAATTAACAAATACATTATGGATTCCTTTACTCTAACTTATTAAAGTTGCGATTGCCGTTTGAACCATTTTAAACTAGTTATTAAACGGTCTTTTTTTTCTCTACCGACATAAAAAGTAAAATCGAGGAATTTGTCAATTTTTAAATTGTTTAACTGACAACTGGGGTCTGGAGAGCAGAACATTGATAGAAAATTGCATTTTAAATTAACTTAAAGTGTGGTTTCAATGTAATAAAATTAGCAATTTTGTTCTGGCCTGAAACCAATCAAATCAACGTCAATTCACGTGGGTATAAAAGGGTATCGGGGAGGTTGTGATCCGGCTGCAGGGAGCATGCCATGCGGACAAAGGACACGCCGTGCCCACAGTTGCGGTGCCATCCACGCCTTAGATCGGCCTACACACGCTCAGTACCAGCTACGGCGCCTCAAATAACAGGTTCGTGTTCGATCTTCAACACGACAAACCACACAAAAGAAGAACATTCTAGATATCAACTCCAGTTAAAATATGAAACAATTCGCCGGCCACCGCAGAGCTTTGTTAGACAGGTGGGAACACACGGGCCCCGTAGCCAGGGGCTGGTAGTGGGCTACAGGAACAGCCTCAGCACGTGTGTCGACGGGACCCATCAACTATAGTTTATCATTTCAAATGTTTTCATGTTTCGCCCTAGTCATTAAAATAACATTTATTGAAGTGGGAAAAATGAAACTGACATTAACAGCCAAATGTCGTGGCTAAGGCGGTAAAAAGTACAGGAAGGGAGGGAGTCACGACTGAATGAGCTAGCAATGGTGGGCCCTAAGTGACACAAGGCGGTAATGGCGGCGTGCAAAAACCACAGCATCCGAGGGGTTCACGTGCAAAACAAAACAGACAAATGTTGAGCACAAAAGCAGACGTGTCTCTTAAATTCTAAATACATATATATATGAAAAGGAACTGCGACACCGACAACTAAGCTCACTCCAACTGTTAGCCACTCCAGCTAGCTACAGTGCCACACTTAAGTATATACGGTTAAAAAAGAAACCTTAAAACTATCCACTGCTAATTATATTTGATAAATTACCAACTTACCAGTGAGTCAATTGTAAAAAAAAAATCTATATAGTTGATTTACTAAGGAGTGACTCCTAACACCTGGGTGGTGGTTGCTGCCAGAAAACACTAGCGGCTTCGCAACGTGCTAGAAGATTGCTCTCCTACCGGCTCGGTAACTCTGTCCTCTCAATCCAGCCCCATCCCTATTTTAGCCAATTAAATGAAAGCTTCCGGAATAATTGACCAATAAGGTGTGGGTACATCATAGCGGATGCCATTTGCGTCACAGGCGCGTTCAAGGGCTTTAGGTTTGTTTTACTGCATGGCGTCTACCGATGGCGAGTTTACAGAAAGCGGTGTATTGCACCACTTTTTCGCATGGAGGCGACAAAAGCGCGTCTGATGGATTCATTGGTTTAAGTGGAGCAAATGACTCATCAATTTACTCATTTATTCTTATACAGACTAACAAACCGGTACCTAATCATAATGGTACAGTAAATATACTCTTGAAAGATTTTCTGTCAATAGAAACCGAATAAATGGAGCGGTTTAAACAAAACAAAAAAAATCTTTAAAACTGGTGTGTTCGGGAATTTACTTGAAAGAACTACAATTAAATTGATTTATTTTTATTATTACTTTTTTTATTTATTTCGTAACTGAGCTACTAGAATTGTTTGGGTGAGTTTATCTGTTTGAACAGATGTTCCTTTATACTTTAATTTTCAATTTTTTTCTGAAAGTCAATATGACATTTATATGTTAAAATGCATTTAACATTTTGATAAATGGTTGCTTGCTGTGTTTGAAAAAAAAAACAACAAGGATGACACAAGGATGGATGGAACAATTACCTCACCTGAAAACTAACAAAATAATAAATAATAAAAAAATGTCTGATCAACACAGCAGAGCTATGCTACTCCCATCAATGTTTACATCAGGTTGACCGTGTCATAAACCCCCCAAACTTACTCCTTAGATCTATTTTTAATTGACTTTGAAGTCCCTTCTACTCCATTAAGCATGGGTAAAGTAGGTCTGAAAGTAGGTGACATCCAAAGGAGAGGGAGCCAAATAGGATGTCCATAAAGTCATTGCTGATGTCGATTGCTGTCAAACACTTGAAAAGGAGAAATAAAGAAACACACCACATCGTCATGGCCATTCTGGTGAGTTATCTTGTAGGTACTGCCGTTACTGTCACTATTAGGACAATCACAGAATATCTCCTCCCTCCTAAAGATGAGGACAGAAACAGGGCAGACCTACATTATTTAGACACTCCCACAGAAGCAGAGGTCATTAGAAGCACAAACCAGGACAACAGATTGTGCATAAGTCAGAGCCCACTTTTTGACACGCCTATTTACAAAGATGAGTTCTTTAGCACAAGTCTTGTCCAACCACCTGAGCCCACGATTTACCAGGATCCTGATCCTGGACTAACAAGTACTGGGCAAGTTACAGATACACCACTTCACCAAGACGTGTCTCCGTGTTCAAGCCTTGTCCAAATTTCTGACAGACCACTTTACCACGACAAGTCTTTGACCTTGTGTCAGACCGAAATCCCTGGCCCAACACTCAGCCAAGATCAGGACGTACAAATTTTTGAGCAGAGTTCATCAAATGTGGTCAGAAGTGTTGATCATTTAAACACTACCCTATCGTGTCGTTGTTACGGACATAGGCATCCAAAAGTTCTAAGCGATTATTCGTATGTTACCACACCGGAACAAGAACTACACAAGAACACGTGTTTATATATGTGTAATAGACAACTGAAAAATCTGCCGCATTACCAAGAAAGTTCTGTGGACCCATACCTCAACTGTATTCGTGAACACGTATGGACTAGTAAGGAAAGGGAAATAGGAAGCATATTGAAGAGCACCTCCTCAGCAGTGGTAGAGCAGGTGTCCTCTGTCACCTCTGAAGTTCGGAGATGGGCGACGGTACCGATTCACATGTTTGAACTAACCCTCATACTAATAATTTACCTGTTAATGCGGTATACTGAAATGGGAGTGCTACCATATTGCACAACAGGCCCAATACTCGTCGTCTTCCTCTATCTGCTGCCACTGCTCTTCTTTTTCAGGCTCATTCTCTTCCTTTAGTTGTTCTAGCTAGGCTAAGGCATTAATTGCAGATTTGTTTATTCCCACATGGTTGTCGCGAATGCTGCCTTAGCATCTACGCAGCTGTATTAAAAAAAAAGAGAGAACACCAAATAGCTGTGTATAAACATAGATGGAGGCAAGCTGAGTTATTTGTTTATTTGTGACAGAGTTGATTGCTATCTGCCACAAACTGTCACGTGACCACTAGGTGGAAGCCGACCCCTCCCACTGTTGTCCCAGCAGCTTGTATGATTAGATAATTCATTTATAGAAAACTCTTCAACACAAGTGCACGTTTAAATGAATAAAAGTCTAATGCTGTATTGGAGGATTTACGAGAATTTACACTTTTTTGATGAAAGACAGGCAAGAAAGTAACACTGACATGGCTGAGGTGTTGAATATAACACTTGAATACTCTGTGGAGCAGTACACCTACAACAACTGTACCACAATGTTAAAGTTACGCCACTTTTTGAAACATTAACCATAGGTTTAAATCTGGGAGACTCGGCTAGACAGGGTTTGCAGATCGATGAAAAGTTTTTACCGTGGAGGTTTTGCAACTTAGAATGAAGAATTCTTCAATGATCATTCAAGGAAACTATTCCAGAGAAGATAACTACATCTGTTCAAAAAGTTTTAAACTTCCCAAAACATTAACAATACTCCATAACAAAATACTTCCACATAGTAACTGTTTGAAAAAGTAACCTGTTTTTTTCTCTCTTTTTTTTTGGTGGCCCAATGGTAGGATTGGATTCTGCTTCGTCACCATCTAACGTCCAACCTTGGTATCCCATGGGAAAGGTTTGTACCTAAAAGGGTAACGTACTTTTTAAAATACATTCCTGAGACTAACACACACTCACATTTCAACTTGATAGAAACTAAGATGATTTTGATGATTATGTTTGTGAGTTTTTAGCCTTCAAACTAATAATTACATTAACCTTACATTTCTCAAAGCCCATTTTCTTCCTGTGGAGCCTCAGTATTAAAGGGAAAAAACAGACCTTTTTTTCCATCTGTGTTTGAGAGGAGTTACTCCAGGCTTTGTGGATGAGGCTCAGCTGTTGTTACACATTCTTGAGTCTGGAGGAACGGGTGGGGATGGTAACAGGGTGCTCCGACTCTCCCTTTCCCCAGGGGAGTGTAAGCACAGAAACACACCCAGTTACACCACTTTTACATTGTACTTTTTTTTACTTTGGATTTTATTAAATTTTTATATTTTTACATTGTTGTTTTTCACTGCGGTCCAGCTGTTGATTGAATTTGCAAAAGGTTTTGGTTTGAAGTGTTGCAGTTATTGTGCACAATTCTGTCTTACCTACACCTGAAGTGCAGTTAGTTTCAGTGTCTTTTTAAATTTTAATTCTGCCTGCAATTCAAATCTGCAGCAACATGTACCTACCACACGAGGCAGCAGTAAACCAGCAGCTTTGTGTTTTCAGCCGGATATTGTGATCTTACAGCTGAAGTAACATTTTTTAAACATTCAAAAAACCTTTAAGAATTAAATAAAGCTTTATTATTATTATTATTTTCATGTGCCAAATTTGTGAAGGTTCATGTTGAATGTTATCAACATCCAACTGAGGAGGAGACCTGAGTTTCTTATCAAGATACTCCATTCATTTTCAAAGGACCAGTACGACCCTGTTCTATTGCCTTACAGTGCCAGTGGAGTCGTTCTGATCCCTGCTCTGATTAAAGAGTTTGCAAAAGAAAAAGGAGAAACAAACGCAGATATGAACGTATGCAGAGATTCCCAGAGATTCTTTTATTTGTGGCAATTTTTTTTTTTTTTTTTGCTGGTTTTCTCAGTGTCAGTAGAAACAAAGTTAGTCTTGAGGAAAAACTCAGCCTGCGAGATTTCCCCACTTTTCTCTCCAATTTTACATCATCCTTTAATGATTCAAGATATTATCACACGTGCGTCTCGGTGCCTGAGTGTTTTCTTGTAGCAGTGACAGTTTTCTTGTAGCAGTAGTCAGACAAAAAAAAAAACACAATAAAGAGTCCACCACCAAAAGAGTGCAAAAACTAAAACTAGTTGTTTAGTAGAAAGCAAGCAAAGTGAGCATTTATTTAGAAACTTTATTTTGGACTTTACAGTTTTGTCTCCTCGAAAATATTTTTTTTTATTCAAATGTTTAAATCCCCAAACAAATTTATAGAAGATCATCATCAACATACATTTACATCAGAGGTCTTCAGTTTGATTTACACGATGACACCACGGTTAGTACAGACTGTGCACTTTTCTCTTTTCTAATCTTTTCTCTCTCTTTTTTAGTGGTATAGGTAGAAAAAGTCAATATCTTATTTCAAAATAAAAAACAAAATAAAATAAATTGTGATTAGCACCGTTACTGTTATTTTCTTTTTAACTTAGGGTCCGGCACCTCCTCCTGTTAGTAGCCACTAGGAGTTGTCACGCTGTTGCTATTGCTGCTCCTGCTGCTGCTGCTGCTGCTGCTGCTGCTGCTGCTGCTGCTTTTGGAAGCTTAGATGATGAGGTCTTTGTCCACATCCTCTGCAAACATAAATAATAAACCTTTATTAATTTACAGAAGTAGATGTTCAGAAAGACAGAACTTTGGATCCTTTTGGACATCTTTTTGTATTTGCTCATCACTAAATTGAGCATTTTGCTGACACTCACGCTCTTTGAGGCCAAAGCATGCGGCCCACTCCTCCAGAGCCACATATTTGTCAGCATCAGTGTCACACTCCTCAAAGAAGCGGGTGGTGCAGTGCTCCATTGGGATGAGAGGAGCACGGAGGGGAGACAGCTCTGTGTGGGTCAGGTATCTGGTGGTTGTACAGAAAAACGAAAACCAGAATGAACATACATTAGGTGTAACGAATGAAGATGTTGTGTATTTCCTAGCAATACATGACACTACAATATATTTAGCATACGCTTTTATCCAAAGCGACTTACAATTTGAGTCAGTAAATCAACACTCAAGCTGCAGTAAACATACAAAATACAAAAGTAAATAAATAATAATAAATAGTAAAAGTACAGTTATAGTCGTAGTAGGTCGTAGAGTAAGACAAATAGTATGTCATAAGGTCATTTTAATTTTTCTGTCAATCGTTGTCCACAAGTAGCAGCCCCAGGGCTGAAGCTCCACTATCCTCCAACTAAGACACTACAGTGTCATTATGGCTGCACTCTCAACCACTCAGGTCACTGCTAAGTCATAAGTATAGCTCAATTCTCACTTGCTGTTGTAGCCACTGTAGGCTCTGCCTGTACTACAGTTGAGTCACTTCTGTAGCTCTGTTGTGCTGTTTCCCCATCAAGTCATTCCTGAATCACTGTTGCATGGACTTGTATCCAGTTGTGCTGTCCTCTGCCTAAGTCACTATTAACTCAGTGCTAAAGCTGTACTGTACTCTGCCGAGGATCTATTAAGTCAATACTATGGGTGTGTTGACCTTTACCTGAGTCACAGCTAGCTCAGAGCTAATGTTGTACCTGTGCCATATTCACTGTTAAGTCACTGCTGTACAGTAGCTGACCTTTCCTTTGCCTGAGTCACTGTCAAGTCAGTGCTATAACTCGACTCAAGCCATTCTTGAGTCAAAGAGATGGCTGTAATGTCTTCTGACTAAGTCACTGCCGAGTCGTACACTGTGCACACAGAGAGCAACTCTCCTGTCAACTCCTTATAACTGGACAAAATAGTGAGTTTATGAGACGTTTTTTGCACGTTGACCAAATATTAAACACTCAAAACCTCAATGCCACATCATCACTTTACTACACTGTGAAAGTGAAAAGAAGCAGCAGCTGGGTGACGTGTTGGAGTCACACTCAGACGTTGCATCATCCACACTGGAAAAGCAGGGGTTTTGCCAAACCCTGGGATGCTTTACTGTGTGGTGTGTCTGAACCTGGTGTGCTCTGGTTAAAAGCCTGTCAGCTAACTTTTACAAACATCGACTACGGCCAGTCTTCAGATTAAAGAGGCTGTGGTCGTACCCGTCAGCAGGGTGCTGGTCCAGCTGACCAAACTGCCAGTGGACGGGGAAGATGTACATGTTGTAGTTCTTCTGGAAGTCCAGAGCCAGCAGGTCCAGAGAGTGGTCACCAGCCTGCAGCCTCTTCTCGTTCTCATAGATTTTCTTCACCTGAAAGAAACAATAACAATAATAAACATTAGCTTTCATACTATAAATGTTTTGTTTGAATGTCATCAGTGGTTGCCCACAGACGACATATAAACACTAAACAATTCTTACCCTCAGCTTCTGCTTCTCGTTCAGCAGATCGTTGTCTTGGTCGCGCTCGTACAGAGTCACCAGAACGTTCTTCAGCCAGTCCCTCATACGCATGGGGAACTCCTTCAGCTCATTGTCCATGCAGGGCTCGATGTCTGCAAAGACAGACAGCCAACATCAATCAACCATTTTATCCAAACCCATTCACACCCAGGATAGATTGTTGAGGTCTTCATACAGGTCTTAACTTATCTTAATCCATTTACAAAAACCACATCAAACCAAACATGTCACGTCTTGAAAAAGTAACAAGTAATGTGTAATAATCTCCCCATGTGACCACCTTGGCCTCCTTCTGGTACCTGTTAATAACTATTGTGTCTTGGTTCACCAAGTGAAACACCTCGTGCACCGTGTACACCCTGCAGTCAGACTTGTCCTCTCACCCACTTCCAGTGTTCAATCAAAGGAAACACACTGCCTGTCTGAACTGGTCCTCCCTCGACTGAGACACAGCCAGATCACGCCCAGGAATCAAGGCAGAACTTTATAAAAGGGAAGAGCTGACAGGCTTTAAAGCTCAGCTTCTTATTCAGACCAGAAACAATATGGATAAAACAGAAATTCCAAAGGAAGATAATAACAAATATCATCCTTCAGTTTTGTTCTTTTTAGTTTTTCCCCAGTATACATGCTGAGATTATGACATGACGTCAAATCTTCTGTGATCGTTTCTGTGGGCTCACATTTGCAGGGTCCGATGTAGTCCAGGTGCAGCTTGTGGCCCTTCTTGGTTCCCTCCAGTGCACACTTGGTGGCAAAGAAGTGGCAGGAGGTCTCGTAGGTCTTATTGTCAGTGCCGCAGTTCTGAGGAAAAAACCAAATGTTTCATTTCAGGTTTTATGTTCGCTGTAGACCACGTCTTTGGTCTGGCCCAGGGGAAAGAGGATAATTGGATAATTTTGTCTAAAGAGAGACCACTCACGTGTTCAAACTCTCCCTCGGCAGGGGGGCAGGTGGAGGGGTCCTGGCACACACACATGGGGGTGTTGCCTTCGTCCAGTTCACACACCTTGCCCTTCTTGCAGTGGTAGTTCAGGCAGGGATCTGCACCAGGACACGGAAACACCATGAGCTCATCACTTCAACAATGATGAAGTTAATGGGGAAAAACAGCTGACAGATTCAGTCTAGGGATGTCCGATAATATCGGTGGGCCAATATTATCAACCCAATATTAGCGTAATTATGTAATATCGGTAAGAACCTTATTGGTTTTTCCTCAAACAATGAAAACTCGCCAGGGTTTTTTGCTGGAATTGCATTTAGGGTCCTGAGAGGTTTACCTCAGTTTTGGGGGAAAACGGCTGCGGAATTGGAAAGCGTTTGGACAATAACGGCATATCGGGTATCAGCAAAAAGTTAATATCGGACATCCCTAGTTCAGACGGTTGGCAATGTACAAACGTTTAGTTATAAAAATAAAAACACAGATTGAAGGCCTGGAGCAAGTGAGTTTGTACGTTTTGCATAACTTTATGGGCAAGAGAATTAAAAATAATTAGTTTGGTACAAGTTGTAAGTACTACTTGAACTGAAGAAGCCTCTTGGATGAGAGGTGAAACGGCTTCTTTTAGAAAATTTACGTCCAGTTGCCTAACAGAACTTTTTAACCTACTCCTTGTAAAGTTTGCATGGTTTACATTTTCTACATTATGTTTAAACTGCGTGTGTTATACAGAGTGTGGACTCACTGTCTTCGACGTCCTCCTCGACAATGTCGATGGCTTCATCAAAATCCCCGACATCCACCTGCACAGGGTTGGCTCCCACCTCAGTCTCCTGCAGCAGAGAGGTCAGAGGTCAGAGTCTTTCAAACGTAAACAAGTCCCGACAGCCTTGTGATCAAAATAGCATCTTCTCCTTTGGTCTATATCTGCATAACACCCAACATAAAGCAGACCACATAAACATGAACTGGACCGCCGTCCTGAAAACAAGACGAGTTTGAACGTCACCACTAAAGAAGGCTCCTCCCTGAATAACAAGCAGCTGCGTCCACATGTGGTGAAGCCATGAAAGACGTAATGGCTTCCTGTCAGACCGTGCCAGTAACTAAAATTAACAGCTGTGGGATCTTCTGGTCCCACTGGACCTCTGCAGCAGGAAACGATATAACGTTCTCATGAAGACGGAGACCAGACAAAACTGCTGGATCCACAATGTTTACCACGGATTATTGAACCTGAGTTAGGCACACAATCATGCTCTTAGAGCTTAAACAACAGCTGAATTTTACAGACAGAGCCAATAGTTCTACAGCAACAATGGTGGCGCAGCATTGACCTTTAAAGTTAATGTTTAAATGTGAAGAAAGTGTTGCTTAAAAATGGAACTGAATTTATAGAAGTTTTTCATCTGACATATTTGTAAATTTAAGGACCCAAGGATGTTTAAAGGATTAAGTTTAAATTTAGCTATTATTAGTCTTTAGGAAAATTGTAGTTTCCACCCTTTCTCAACAAAAAAGTCTAAAAATCATCACAAAAAAACTACATTTTAACAGCTGTTTGAACTTTGCCTCCATCATGAAGAACATCCTTGTACCAATATTAGTAGCTGCAGTACCATTAATGACCACAGGGTGTTAGCTTTAACATTTTTTAGCTCCCAGAGAGAGAGAGATGTTAAAAATATGCCACTTTGTCCAAAAAGTATTTTTTGGTTTCATTTTGATGTTAGCATGTCCATTCTTATAATAGATGGTTATGCTGTATATTTTGTAAAGTTCTAGGATTGTTCTAGTCTCCTCTAGCCACTTTATATCTATATGATAATTATTTTAAATTCCCGTTGGCCAGATGTGGGCGTTCATACCAAACATCATCAATTCTGTCACATGTATAGTTAAATACAGCTGGACCGCAGGCTTCACAAACCACAGAGCTCCATCACTGATCAAATTATCTCTGCCAGTGCAGCTGTGAGGCTTAGACGCCAAATAAGGCTCAGAAGACAACGAAAGAATTTGGCCTTTTCTCAACTAAGATGAGACGATCAAGGTCATACATAATTGGATAAAAAGGAAAATTTTGTAAACTATATTACAATTTTAGTTTTTATCTGATTGATTTAGTTTTAGATGTTTAATATTATCACTTTTAAAGTGATTAAACCTTTAAAGAAATGTGTAAACTGACCTCCATGACTGGGTCCTCAACAACTACCTCCTCCTCGACCTGGAAGACAGAAATATAAAAACACACACACATGAAACTTGTGTTTTTAAAGATTTTTAACCAAACCTATAGACCACATAGCTCTCACACATACAGACTTAACACCTGGATAAACACACACAGGACACACACGTGTGTAAATGGGCTTGAGACCATGTTTTGAAAGCTCATCTGAGTTTAAGGAAAGCAAACTTGTTTAAGTGAGGTTTTTTTTATTATTCCAAGAGATCATTCTGGATTTTGTTAAATGTTTGAAGAAATAATACAAGATCTCGTGGACTGACCTCATACACAGGCTCCTCAGTCATTGGCTCCTCTTCAGTCTGAAACAAAAACACGCACTCATTTGAAACCAGTTTCCTTTTTGTCGAACACGCTAAACAATCATTCTGTATGGTTGTGAGTGTCCCACAAAAATGTCTGAAAAGTGACGCAACTCTGTAGAACAATAAATGCATCCCTTTCTCCAAAGTTTTGATCTTCACTTTTAATGCCTCTGTGCCTGTGCAAGAGAAACATGTTTTTTTTTGCACATTGTCTTCTGCACAGAAAGTGCTGGAAAAGCTTAATATACCATGGGTTTGTCATCCACTAAATGCTGATCGTATCACACTGTTGACTCACTGGAGTTTAGCTAATATGTAAGAAGAGATGAAACAGACACTCAGAGCAAATACATTTGTAGAATAAAAAATACCAAACCTGATGATTTCATATAGGGATTCCCTTACAGCTCTGACACACACACACACACACACACACACACGTTTAACCCACATTTACACACACATTCAAATATGGAGGCGAGACTAGAAACCAATCTGTCATCCTAGCAGACTAAACACACCCGGACACACACATACACACATACACAAACGGATAAACACAGGGACTACACACAAACAAGAAAACACAATAAACACACACACACATTGGTAACTCTGGAGTGAACTGAGGATCCCTATAGAATAAAGACGGAGACACAGACAGGAAAAGACACAAAGGGAGGAACACACTCATAAAGACACACACACATTCTTTCCTTTCTGTAACTGTGAGAATGTAAATCCGTCCCGTGCGTTCATCGCCCCTTAACCCTTTACTCACTTTTGAAACTAAAACTCCTGAAACACAAATCCTGAGCCAAAGTTCAACTTGTTTAGAAAGTGATTTCACAGAATTGATATTTGAGGACACCACAGTTGGACTTACAGGAGCGGCCATGGCATGTCCTGCCAGACACAGAAGGAAGACGATCCACACCCTCATCTTTAAAGTCTGAGGAAACACAAAGAAAAGAAAAGAGACGTTTAACTTTTTAATTATTATTATTATATATTTAACTGTATATTCAAAGGTAGATGTCTGTGTCTAAACGTTCCTTGTTGCCACAGAAAAAAAAACCTTGGACACAGATGACTATACTTCAACTCTGCCCACAGCAGGGAAAAAAAGCATGTGAACACAACATGCATCACTGCTCTGTCTGTACACTGTCCACTCTCTCTGTTTTCTGGCACCATGTGCTGTAATGGTCTGTTTCTGCTTCTGTTTGTGTTTTTTCTTTTTTTGGTGAACAGACATTCCCAGGCATCCCATTCTTTTTACAGTTGAAATGTAAATTGTGTAATTTTTCCTGTTTAGTCACAGAAATAAAAACTCGACTGAATCAGACCTCAGTTAGAAAATGAGCTGAGAATGCTAAAGTAAACTGCTCCTGTCTTTACGCTCTGCATTTTTCCATGAGCCGAGGCAACGCGCTCTCTGTCCACCTCCATTTTCCACCACCTCCACCGTTTCTTTCCGTTTCACTGCGTTGAGAAATGACTAAACACATATTTACATTTGTAAACCCAGGAGAGAGGAGTCCGAATGTGAACCCGAACCTGATGAAGTGTGATGTTGTAAATGGGCAGAAGGATGTGCTCTTTCCACCAAGCACAACATTAAAGTTCATCTCATACCAGAACAGACCAGAACCAATTGAAAAATACGTCCTGTAGGTGACAGTAGTGCAATTCAGAGTGTCCAAATAGCCCAAAGTTGGCAGAATTATCTTAACTGACCCTCAGATGAGATGACATGTGTCTAGTTACAGTTGAAACTGTTTTTGGCAGCCCCCTGCAGGGGGTGCATCTTCGAAAGTTTTGATCTAAAAAAACATCATGCAATTGTGTCAGATAATTGGATTCGCTTTAAAGGTCCAGTCTGTAACAATTAGTGCCACCTATTGGTGCAACTCCAGTATGTGTAGGTTGTTGACTAAATGTTGTCCAGCCTGGTCTGCATGAGCGATGCCTGCTTGTAGAAACATAATACTCTACATTTTTTCTTGTTTTTCTCTTGTTATTTTTCCATATAAAACCAAACTTGTAGCTCCTTGAACCCCAGTGATTTCATCTGTGTCTGCATCTGATTGTCTTTGCAGCTACTGTCGCTGTTTCTTTTCTGTCTTTACCACTAGTCTGAAGGGCCTAACAAGAATATCTTTGTTTGGTCATGGAACACCACATTGCTTGGTCTTCCCACATATTTTTGTGTCTGTTATCTCCTTCTTTCTGCCTGCTGTGATATCAGCTGTTTCCTTCAGACATCCAGCAATGATCTGGAGTTGAAAGAGCCTCCACATCTAAGAGGACTCTTACAATCTGCCATACGGGTTAGATGTAAGCATCTGTAGACACTGAATGTAAAGATCTGTGGAAAATCTTATTGTTTTATTTGGTGTCTTTTTTTACATGTTTTTGTTGGGCTGGAAATCAAATATATTTGTTGCTGTTTCTCCTCTGCTGTGATTGAAATTCTTCATGCGGGATTTAACAGCTTGATCTGACACAGTTGAACTGATCTCTGTGGGACATCAGTGAGAGGATGGAACAGTTCGATAAACAGAGCTGCGCATAGTTGGAATTCCTGCGTCTCGGATTAGAGGACAGCAGGTTGTCTACAAACAAGCTCTGTGTGATTTGGGACACTTTGCAGAGCTTTAACATTTCCATAAAGGTAGACGATGAATTTGGAAAATCTTGAG